CAAGCCTTTCCCAGCCTCCCGCCTCGCGGAGGCGAAGCGACACGCCGTCCGCTCGCGGGGCACAGCATGTCGACGGGCAGCCACCCGCACACGCTGAGCAAGAGTTCCCGGCCGTACCGGACCCCGCGCTCTTCTGAGACCCCGCCCCGTTTTGCAACGAGGGCGAGCGGGTGCCTTAGGACGCTTAACTGCGAGCTCCTCACTGGATGTGCGCGCCGTAACAGACTGGTTACACATTTAGTAGCGCGCGGCAGAACTGTTTAGTTAAAGTCGGATTGGCTTCGCCCTCTGCCTCGGGCCCCCTCCCCTTCCGATTGCCTGCGTTGCTGGGTCGTTTGGGTTGGTTGGCTGATCGATTGATTGGTTGTCAGGGTGGAAGCGGGCTGCTTGGCTGGCTGTCTGCTAGGACGGCTGGCAGGATAGGCAGCTGGTTGGTTCATGGGTTGTCTCGCAGGCTGAGTGGCTGCTTGGGATGCTCGCTGGGTGGCTGGGGAGATCGAGGGGCGGGCACATTGATCTGCCATGCGGGGCCGTGGCCTGGGGAGGGCGGACCAGCAGCTCTCGTGCGAGGGATCGTGGCCTCGAGGGCCCGGGTCCTCACTCCCCTCCCGTGCTCGTGGCCCTTCGACGGGGCGGGCCCAGCCGTCCCCCGTGGGTGAGCATGGCCCAGTTCTCTCGTGCGCGGGGCCTTGGCCTCGAGGGTGCGGGCCCGCACTCTTGGGAGCGCAGGCCCCCTCTGCCCGTGTGCCGCCGGTGCTCCACGGCGCTCACGAGGCGAGGGAGCCTGCACTGGCGGCGCCGGTGCGGTGTTTTCGGGCCTCCTCGTCGGTCGCTGAAAGTAGGTGTTCCCAAACTCCTGGGTTCCACTCTGCTCCAGGCGCCTCCCCACTTGACGGGTCGAGTGGTGTTCCTTCTCCCCGGGGTTTCAGGGGGCGGGCGCAGGTCCAGTCTACGAGCAGCGCCTTACCCACGTCTTGCGACCGATGGGTATCGGCTGTGCTGATGCGGCGTTTTTGGGCCCGGGGGGGTCGCGCGCGCCCTCGGAAGCTTGGAGTCCCGCCTCTTGAGAAAGTGAGCAGCTGGGTGCTCTGAGAACTAACGACTGCAGTGCAACGGTTGCCAAGTGTTGCTGAGCTTCTCAGGACCCAGAGATGCGAATTGCCTCGCTGCGCTGATGGAGGGTTTTTCCGAAGGGCTTTTTCGAAGGGCTGGAGGGTTTTTCCGAAGGGCTTTTTCGACGCGTCCTCCTCCTCCTCCTCCTCCACCTCCTCCTCCTCCTCCTCCTACCTCCTCCTCCTCCTCCTCTTCCATCTCCTCCTCCTCTTCCTCCTCCTCCTCCTCCTCGTGCTCCTACCTCCTCCTCCTCCTCCTCCTCCCCCTCCTCCTCCTCTTCCCCCCCTCCTCCTCCTTCTCCTCCTCCTCCTCCTCCTGCTCCTCCTCCTCCTCCTCCTCATCCATCTCCTCCTCCCCCTGTCCCTCCACCTCCTATATCTCCTCCTCCCCCTCCCCCTCCTCGGGTCGCCTACGGCCCCGGGGAAACCGTGCAATGAGAGCTGAGTTTATCGGTTGCTGAGACCTCGCCTGGGCAAGCGGATTCCCCCCCCGGGGAACCGGCGGATCACAAATAGCCGAGGTTGTCACGCAATGAGCAGCGTGAACCTTTGATTACAGTCGCCCAGGCGAATTTTTGAGGAACAACAGAATCACACCAGAGAAAAATCCCAATCAGTGGATGTTTTGATCGATAAGGAGATCGACCAGGAACCGGGGAACCCAGAACCCACCGAAATCGTCCCGGAACCAATAACCAGATAACCAGGAACCCGGGAACCCAGCCGGCCACCCAAATCGGCGGAACCTTTTCGCCAAATCTTCCCATGTCCGCTAGGACCCCTTCAGTGCAAGCACTGATTGGGCAAATACTCATACTCTTGCGGAAGTTCGCGCGGATGTCTGGGATCGGCGCTGGAGCCCCCTGGCGGCACCTCCGGCGCCGCCCCTGGTGCGCTCGCTACGCGCGCCGGGGGTAGGGCCTCTGGCGCCCTTCCAAGAACTTCGTGTGGATCTTCAGAGGGTATGCTTATGTTTCTTGCCGTGCATGGTTGCTCTAAGCTAGCAGTCAATGTCAGAGTTGAAGGCAGTGCTGTTTGCTACGCCGAACTGCGCCTTTGTCCTGTGCCCCTCCTGTGACGGGAATCGTGGAGAAAGGAGCAGTGTCCTCAGGAGACGCAGACAGAGTTTTGCGTACACCGTTACATGGCTTGCTGTGCACTTCAGCATCTTCTGTGCGCTGCTGCTCTATGCCTCACCGTGTGCACGGCGAGCCCAAGTACGGCCTTGGTACAGCTGCTCTTGCCCGAAGAGGCCAGCGTGCAAGCAGGGCAACGAGCCAACGAGGACGATGAGGAGGGTGTTGGGCGCAGACATCCGACGTCACTTGTTTCTTGCCGCTTTGATCCGTCGTCGTGTCTCTTGTCGTTTCGAGAGCAACGCGTGCTGAACAATTCATGACGTCGGAGGTCGGGCCTTGCCTCTCATAATGTCCGTGCCAGGCGTTTGTCTTGCATGCTTTAGGGGGCTTGATGAATCTGCTCGGTGAGGTTCTGATCCCTGGCCTGCGCACAGAAGCGACAGGCGGGCCTGCATATACAGTCCGACAGTTGAGGGAAAGAAACAAATGGAAGAGAACGAGACAGAGGGAGACACGAGAGAACATGAGAAAAGGGATAGAGAGAGAGAGAGAGACAAAAAAAAACAAGAGAGAGCAAGAGAGAGCCGCGAGAAGGAGAGGGGGGGCCTGTGCAGCCTCGGCAGCCTCGACGGGCCACCTCGGCAGGGCTGGCCGGGGACGGCAGAGGCTGGCCCCACGAGGGCCCAGAGATCGGAGGCGCCGATGGGGGGCGAATAGCCCAGGGGTGAGCAATACATCAGGAGGGGAAAACACACACAGACACAATTAATCGTCGGTTACCAAGAAAATATGGGAAAATATGGGAAGGGGGGGGAAGACAAAAACCCAGAAAATATAGGAACAGATGGGGAATCTTTTTATTGGTGTGTATTTATTTGTGTGTCCTGGGGCCCCTTAAAATACATGTATCCAGGGGCGCTGATGACCCACCTATTCGGCGAGGCTCCCGGGCGAATGCGTGTAATGCCCGTCCCTGGGCTATTCGCCCCTATCGTGGCCGCCGAGAAGATGTCTTCAAGGCCCTTCCACTCGACCCGATTGAGACGACGCCTGAGAGGGGCCCCCAGCAGGCACGTCATTTGTCCGTAGACTTTTTTGGTGTATGACCTTCGCATGCTCGCCTGTTCTTGCGTCGGAGTGTCACAGACAGCTCCTGAAGCCCGAAAGTCAAGCCCCCAGACGCCCCCAAAAGAGCCCCACGAGGGCCCCTACACGAGCTCAAGATGGCCGAAGCTGGACCCAAGCGGCTCCCTGGGAGGCCTCCCCGGCCTCCAAGACGGCCCAAGTCTTCCCTCGGATGTCCCAAGAGGGCCCACGAACGGCCATCCAAGACAGCCCAAGGGCACTCGAAAAGTATTCCCAAGGTGCTCCAAAGAGGTACAAGTTATTGGCCGTCCTGATGGTTTGGTGTTTGTTTGCGTGCTCGCCTTTTTGGCCTTCGGTGTGTTCTGGGCAGCTCCAGAATCCATGAATCTAATTGTTCAGACGGCCTCGAAGAGCCCTACGATCACCCAACTATTGCCGAAGTTGGCTTCAGGCGGAAGGCTTGGACTGCCTCCCCAGCTAATGCAGGATGAGGATTCCGAAATTACCGCGGGTCATGTTCACGCGGCGGTGCTAGGGCAGATGATTCGAAACACGGCCCCTCCGGCCAGGAACCTCCTTTGCTTCATCGCCCCCCCCGCTCTCCTCGGATGCGCGCCTGGACGGTCGACGGGGCAGACGGAGCCGAAGCGAAGCAGAAGCCGAAGATTCGGCAATTATGTGCTGAATATTTCCCCCAAGTCTGTTACAGTCGGGGCGCTAAGGAAGGAACCCTTTTCGTTGGGGAGGGGCTCGGTGTTCCTTGGTTGTTTTGCAGTTCGCCTTGGGTTTTCCTTGGGGGGTTCGATGGGAAATCAAACTTTATCTCATGGGGAAAAGGGGCCTCGTTCCTTATTTGGGGTTCCTTAGGTCAAGGCCCCGACTGTACTAATTGTCATCTTGCAGTCGTGCGCCCTCGGGCGCCCCAAGGCGGCCTCCAAGGCGGTCTCGGTGCTCCCCGGCATGCCCGCAGGCCACCCGGAATGGCCCAGCGCAGCCCAGGAGCCGCTCACGATGCTCGGCATCGCTCGGACATGTGTTTTTTTTCCTCGGTGAGGACCATCGAGGAGCATCCTTGATCATTTGGCGAAAAAACCACGCACGAAACCTAAAAAAGCACACGGAATGGACGTCCGAGCGATTGCGAGGATGGCCCGTGGGCGCCCGAACAGCATTCCCAAGAGGCCCTCGACAGGCACAATTTTCTTGTTGCCAGCGCAGTCGAAACCGATGATGACCCAGAGATCTAACGCACTGGAAAACAACTGCGTTGTTTCGCCCTCTGCGGCTTCAACAGGCCCTTCGCCGAGCCCACGGACCGTCAACGAACGGCTCAGGATGAAAAGCCGTCCTTGGCGAAAGGGTAAGGGGTTTTCAGGGACCCCGTATTAAAGCAATCGCGAATTTCGGATCTCTGCGAAGGATGGGTAGCCTTCCCAAGGGTACCCGTGCATCCTTGCCGCTTCGGTCCATCCTTGACCCTTTTCGACGGCCAGTCCCGCTCGAAAAGCGTCGGCATGGGCGTCCAAGGCCCTTGCATCCATACCGCGCGTCCTTAGTACCAGTTTTGACTGTATGCTTTTGTGCTGCATTCACACGCTCACCTTCTTGGCATTCGGAGTGTATCAGTCAGCTTCCAAGATCGATCCCAGGCAGCCTAAAAGCTCCGGAAGCGCCCCAAGGCGAGCCCAGCAAGGCCTCAGCTGGCCCTAAGACCCCCAAGAAGGCCTCCAGAGGGGGTGCGGCGTTCCGAGAGGAGCCCAAACCAACCCGACACAAGCCCGAGGCAGCCAATATTGGCCCAGTAACCCCCCAAGGGGGACGAGACGCGCCCAAGGTTACCAAATAGGGCTACGACGGCCTAAGAGAGCCACAAACGACCCCAACATGGCTCGAAATGCCTTCAATATGCTCTTGGACAAGCTCTCTGACGTCCCATGTACCCTTCAGGCTGCGTTCAGACAGTCCGAGAAAGTATTGTCAACCAGCATAGTAAGGATGGGTAACTTTCCCAAGGCTATGCTTGCATCCTTGCCTCCCCAGGCCAACCCTTGGCCGCTTTCGCTGGCCGCGCCCCAGGCGCAAAGTGTCGACATGGCCTTCCAGAGCCCTCGCATCCTTGTCGTGCGTCCTCAGGATGCGGGTCGACTGTGCCCAGGAGAACTCTGCATGCCATACCAGCCCGATGTTTTCCCGCACTTCCGCCGCCACTGGCTCCAGAAACTATGTTTAAGTCGGGCGTGTCTCTCTGCAGGAGGAATGTTTAAACATAGTAGAAACATAGTCGGGGGACGGTTTTATTTAGGTGTTTCAGTATGTTGGAATGTTTTTGGGGGAAGAAACTGACCATGTTCAATTTGTCGTCAACAATCTGCCTGTAGGGGGGACATGCCCGACCTGACACCATGCAGCAAGGCCTCCCACGACGCCTGCCCCCTCCGGAGGTGCGCGGCCCTTTTCCTCCCCCCCTCCTCGACGCCAGCACGGGAGCCTGCGACCAGCGCGTGGACGCGGACTGAAACGCGGCGGACTGAGACTCGACGAACTCAGGCAGGACCAACCGAAACAATGCGAGCCGAGATGAGGGCCGAAACAAACAAGCCAAATCGAATCGAGACAACGAGCCGAGGTTGGGCCATGCAGAATCTGTTTTGGCTCACCCCTCTGAAACCACACGGCGTCTCGTGCCGAGGGAGCCGCACTCCGAGAGCCAGGACAAATCGCGACGACGGCGGGAGAGGCTTAGGCAAGCATGAGCACAGTCAACCTGCAGAGTAAGGATGAGCATTTTTCCAGAGGCTGCCCTTGCATCATCCCCTTCGGCCCATCCTTAGCGGCTTTCGCTGGCAAGCTTTGTTCGAGAAGCGCTAGCTAGCATGGCCCTCCAAGGCCCCTGCATCCTTACCGCGCGTCCTCCGTACACGGGTTGACTGTCGGCGAAGTTCCAGCGCCGCCTCCAAACCCAGCCGCGGAGGCCAGAGGCCCCCCGAAGGTTCAGAGAAGTCCCGAGCAAAAAACAACGCCCGAGAACCCCCATCCTCAAGACTCGATCCTCGATCCTATATCCCCGAAGGCTCGAGGCTCGATCCTCGAGCCTCGAGCCTCTCCGCGTGGCGTTCAGCCATAGTTCGGGTCTCCAGCGAGCCGTTCGGGGCGATCCAGGCTCCCTCGGTTCGGTCTGCTCCTTCTCCTGCTCCTCCTGTTCCTCCTCCTCCTCCTCGTCCTCCTCCTCCTCCTCCTCCTCCTCCTCCTCCTCCTCCTCCTCCTCCTCCTCTACTTTGGGGTCCTACAAGAGAGAGAGAGAGAGAGAACTCCCGCTCGAGACCTCCTCGCAATTCCCTCGCAAGCGAAACTCCCGCCCGAGACGTTCCTTGCACCAGAATTCGCCAACGGGTGAAAGGAACCACCCAAGTCAAATCGTAAAAACACATGGTTTGCCCTCCTCCTTTTCCTCCTTGGCATCCTTCTTCTCCTGGGCCCCCTGTAAGCGGGAGCTCTCACTCGAGACTTCCCCGAGACGCCCTCACGCACGACCCTCCTGCTCGAGACACTCCTCAGGACGTGCCCACGAGCGTGAGGAGCCAAGGCCTAATGAGCCGATGCCCTTTTTTGCCGGATGGCGTGCGAATCGCGCATTTGTGCTGAAGTCGAACGGTTCATTCGACAAAGGTCGCACGCGAACGAGCATCGATGCAGCGTCGCGCGATCGAGCGCCTCGGCGCCGGTCACACTCAAGCACAGATCGGGCATGCCGCTCCATTTCGACAGTGGCCCCAGCTCGCGCGGCGGAAGCCGAAAACATGGCGAGCCACACGGCTTGAGCTCCACCTCCCCCTCCTTGGGGGGGCCCCGCGAGGGGGGGGAGCCTGCCGCTCCCGGCAGGCTCTCCCGCTGGACACGTGCGCTGCCGAAGCTGCCCGATCGGGCGAAGGGACCCCAAGCAAGAGCACGCGAGGAGGAGGGAGGAGGAGGAGGAGGAGGAGGAGGAGGAGGAGGAGGAGGAGGTAGAGGAGGAGGAGGAGGAGGAGTAGGAGGAAGAGGAGGAGGAACCTAGTCAATTTTTCGTCGGCGGCGAGGCAGAGGCAGTCCGCTCCAGCGCGTGGCATTTCGGGGCAGCCGAAAGGCGGAGTGGCCAGCGTGCCAGAGGGGAGGGAGAGAAAGACGAGAGCGGCCGCGCGGGGGACCAAGCAACAACACATGAGGCGTTCCAGCAAGGGTTTCGCCCC